CCCACAGCTAACTTCTCCTCCAGGCCTATCCCTGCATCACCTGCTAAACGAGTGGCTTGGCTGAACTAGATCCCTGGTCCTCAGAGCAGGCCCTGGGAGGGTGGCCCGAGGCTCAGCACGCCGACTCAATAGCCTTGAGCGGCGTACATTTCCATTAGGCATACTGACAAGCCAAAATGTTCATATTTTAGTAAGTTATTATAAAGAACATTCCCATCAACTGGTTTGGGAACCCCTGGTTAGCTCACCTGCATCCAAAATTCCAATTACATTGAAATAGGAATTGTTTCTCCATTTTTCTCAATCCAATTAGATGTGTGTGTAACTGCTAAAAAGTCAAGCCATGGAATCCATGAGGTGGAATGAATGGACGTTTCTACTGGTGAAAGAATCGAATGAGTTCAAGAGTTCCCCCGAAACCATCTGATTTTATCGTTTAATCCTGTAATTAAAGTTGTCTTTTGTAATGCAGTAAGTCGTAAGGATAAAAACCAACTCATTTTGTACAAATAAGTACTATAAGAAGAAATCAAGGGTTTCAATAAAGATGATATCCCCACTTTCCCAAGCCTTATCATCCTACTTGGGCCGCTGCACCGTGGTCAAGAATGGTATCATCATAAGCTCCTATGTAGTTTTCCACACGCTTCTGACCACCCGAAGACCTAGCAGAAGGAAGAAAGACAGAAACAAAACAAAAACTACGAAGGTTACTGGTCTCACGTTCATTTTTAATTCTATTAGAAAGAAACAAGGGAAAAAAAGGAAGGTCTCAAAGGAGGGAATTCTTTTTCTTCAGAATCATTTTATTAGTTTGTATACTGTTTGTCCACACTCAACTCTTCTCTTCTCCTCGGACACACAAATGCGTTCAGTCGGACTCTTCTTCTCCCCATATTTCATATATGGTAACATTATTGTCTGGATCTGCAGGCAGGCCTGCGCGTTGAAGCCTGAGGTTACTGCTAGTTGCCACAGCAACTTTAAGACTCCGCACCTTGGACACAAATTTCACAAGGTCCATCTCGAGTTGGGTTAAGGTAGAGAACGCATAGTCTTTGTTTGGGGGAGCATTTTGATTTTTCTTTAGTGGAGAGCGAAATGAACAGCCTCGAAGGCTGGGAAGATTGTGATCCTGTCAAGAAAGATATTCAGGGTGAGTGACACCATTGACTTTGCCAGTTTTGACAGTTCATAGTGTGGGTTTGTCTAAGAGAAGATGCCTTTGGCATTGCTCAGTGATTGGCAAACTATGGGCAAATCCGGACCACCACCTATTTTTGTAAATAAAGTTTTATTGGAACACAGCTGTGCTCATTTGTTTACATATTGTCGATAGCTGCTTTCATGTTATAATGGCAGAGCTGAGTGCCTGTAACAGACTGCATGGCTTACAAAGCTAAAAAGATTTACTATCTGGCTCTTTTACAGAAGAATTCTGCCACCTCCTGCTCCACTCAGTGTGGGGACAGTACTGAGATGTCCCGAGAATATGCTGCCATATTATTCACCCTTCCCCCCTCTAACTGAAAGGGTTCTTTAGCCTCTTTGGGGACAAGATGCTATTTTAAACCTTTATCCCTTTACTATAGGTTTCACATTTCCCTTATTTGGATAAATGATTCTATTTCCATTTAGTTCACACCTTGTGATAGGTCAAATGCTAGGGAAGTTAAAAAATCAGGGGCAGTGAACCTGGCTTTGTGAATAATTTTGAGCTGAAATACATCAAGGTCTTGAATTCATTCTCAGTTCGAAAGAACTCACTTAACAGATATATAATGAGCCAAGGTCTTATTTGCCCAATGAACAGAAGGCTGTCTGCAACCCCTCATCCCAACCTCTCTGTGGATTTGGGGATTACTGTCTTCACTACAGAAACATCAGAAAATGAACTTGCCAACTTTCCCCAGGGCCTTGAGATAGTACTTTCCATCCAAATCCATTATATTTAACAGTCCTGCCTATACTGACTCGGAAGATCCGTTTCTTCGAGCCTGGGATGTCCGACCCTGAATCAATGGGGTGTAAGAAAGGCATCGTCCTTACCTTACTCTTCTCACTATCTCCTCGAAACTTCAGGATCACATACAGCACAACAACAAAAAAGAGCCA